ATTGGTGGTCGCGTGACGCCTCTCGAGGAACGCCGCGCAGGACGCAGACGCGAGGCGTCTCATACGCCTGTGGGGGCCTATGGGAGGCCTCCTGGGAACCGGGAGCCTCTTGGGGCCTCTTCGGGCTCTCTTGGGGAATTCGGAAAGCGTTTCCGTAGTCTCTGGGAACCTCTGGGGGCTTCCGGGCAGGTGTTGGGGGCATGTTGGGAACCGCACCCCCCACGATAGGGACCCACGACCCGCGTTGGCACCCTCTTGAAGCCCTCTTGGGGCTCCCTTGGGATGTCCTGGAGCCCTCTTGGGGTCTGTTAAGGGCCGCGTAGGCGGTCCTGGAGCCTCCTTGGGCGCCCCTTGGAAAGATTTTTAAAGGCTCTCGAGACTGTCAAAATGAATTTGCTGAAAACTTCTGTTCACCAACAGGAATGTGATTGTTGCTTCCTGGGGCCTTTGGGGGAGGCCTCTGTGGGGCCTCTTGGGGGCCTCTTGGCGCGTCTTCAGACCGTTTGGGGGATCCCGGGTGGCGCCAGAGTGCCCCAGACGCAACGTTGGACGCTTATTGCTGATCTCAGGGCCCGGGGAGGCCTTGGTATGTCTATATCTGTCGTGCATGTGCGTGTTATCTGTTATGCATGTGCGTGTTGACGCTGCAGCATTTTGGCTTGCCACAGGAATGGAAAAGAGGGTGCAGGTGCTCCCTCCTCGAAGCCCAATCTACATTGGTAGAGCGGAGCGTGCCGCGCGATAGCAGGCGCTGTCGCACCGGGAGGCACTCGGGTGAGTGCCGGCGGGACGCAACTAGAAGGTGATGAACACGGACAACGGGGGCTCCGGCGGCGCGATCAGGAGGTTCGCCGGGAGTGGAGTCGACGCCTTTCGGGACTACCGATCCTGGAAGAAATGGGCGCGGGCGTACCTCATCGTGCAGAAGGCGAAGGGGACGCCTGCGTCGGCCCTAGGGCCGATGCTTTTCACGCTGCTCGACGACGTCGCCGCCCGAGCACTGGAGATTATTGACATGGACGATCTGGAGCAAGAGGGCGGCGAGCAGCACATATTCGACACACTCGATTCACGCTTCCCCGACGTGGCAGCCCACGACAGGCTCGGCGAGGCGCTGAAGGAGGTGTTCACGATTCGCCTAGCCAGAGGGGAGTCGATGGCGGCCTACTGCGGACGCGCTCAGGCGGCGTTCGCCAAGGGCGAGACTGAAGGCGTGGTGCTGCCAGACATGGCGCGCGGGTACCTGCTGCTGCTGGGAGTGCACATGGCGCCGCAGAACCTCGCGGTCGTCCTGGCGGCGTCGGGCCGATCTTACAAGGAGAAGGACGTGGCGATGGCGCTCAGGACGACCTACCCTAACGGCTCAGCAGATTTCGGCCAGCAGTCGAAGGCGTTCGGAGCGAACGTGGCGGTAGAGGAGGCCAACGAGAGCGACGACGTCGCAGACATCACGGCATTGCTGGCGGGTTTCGACATGATTGAGGATACTGAGGACGGGGACATCCTGGACGAGAGTGAGGCCATCGAGATTCTGGTGTCCTGGCGCGACCAGCGCAACAAGATAACGAAAGAACAGCTGGCTCGGGGCTTCGGCCCGAAGAGGCCGGACACGCAGGCGATGGCGAAACGAGTGCGATGCTATAACTGTGACGAGGTCGGTCACTTCAGCAGGGACTGCAAGAAACCACGACGTCAACGCAGGCCGCCACCACGGGACTACAAACACAAGGGCAAAGACGGCGAGAAGCGCGGCGACGTGGTCACGGTCCTCGAGAGTG